TAGTTTTCCTTCTACCCCCACCCCGTCGAGTGGCATCCTGTTACCCCTCTCGAGGATCGAGACCCACACACGTGAAGGCGCAACACATTTGTTGAAATTTGAGTTAACAATAGTTGTCTGTCATCGCCACCTTCCCTTTCTTCCTTTCTTTTTCGTTGTTGTTATTGCTGATGGAGTTTGGATAAAGGATTGACTCGCCAAGTTATTTTCAGATCGTTTGTTAATTTCGTACTGTATTAATGTGGACTGCTAGTGGCTCTGACATTGCCATTCTTAATGTACGCTATTCTATTTTAAATTTCTACATCCCTAAATCTTTGAGTTTCCTAATCTCTGAGTACCTCGATCGCCAACCCCATACTTCCGAATTTCAATTACATTCTAAAATTTGTTCAAGTATTAGTCATCTCACGCATGTATCTTCATGATGTGATTATTTTAAGTTTCAAAAAAAAAATGTATTAATGAAGAAATGATATATCCCAAAATTATGATACGTCATAAAAGTGCCTCAGAAATTAAAATAACAGAAGTTGGGTTTTTAACAATTTCGTCAATCAAATTTATACCGAAGAGAATTTCATAATATATGACTTTGAGTATCACGTACGCGGAATGTAACAAAGGGTAAAAAAATGTAGACGTTTAATTACGATCATGCTGAACAAACGTCTGGATCAGTTCTACGATTAAAACATACGTAATTACTTGCTTCATCAAAAATTTTTATAATTAATTACGTTGAGCGCGAAACAAAGAACGGTAGAAGCGTTCATCCAGTGCACCATTCATCCAATTAACCTTTCGTCGAATGTGAGCGAGCTTTGAGCGTCGAATTGACAGGAAATTTTCATAACAATTTCGATGATTTTCCTGGGGACGAATTTAAACAAGCGAGCGTACAAAAGGTCCGACGAAAATCGAGCCGTATCAGATGCGGGGACGCAAAGGGATGGTAATGCGAGTCCGTAGGGGGGTGATCGCCCGCCGAGGGTGGGAGAGTGTCACTCAGGAGCACGACGTGTAAGAGAATGGTCACCATCCCGGGGGGTGAATTGAGATGTACAGGCAATTTATGCAACGGCACTTTCGTTCGGAAGTCAGGAGGCTGACCATGAATGCTTGCAAAACACCACCGGGATAACACCTTGATTCTTCTGCAACAATCTACCCTCATCGAGGTGTATCACGATGGTTTCAGAAATTTAATAAATCGGGGTGAACAATTTTCAATTTGTGATATTTAGTGAGGTAGAAAATTAGAAAAATATATCTTGGATATCTGTCGACAAAATAGCACTTACTCATAATTTTAAATGCAGTCTATTCTGGTATTATTCTTTCAAAATATTAGTGAAGTATATTTAGTTCATTAAAATGTTAATGAAACTGCAAAGGGTGTTTGTGACAAGACTAATTAGAAATATTTATTCCAAATTTTTCAAACAGAACTTCAAAGACACCTGTTTTATCTCTGTTATTTTTTAATGCTAATTGCGTTCCTAAAATTCTTACTGTAATTTTTTAAATTCTTTGAAAATTCGAAGATTTGAAGATTTGAAAATTCCACAGCTATTATGGGGGTCGTATAAAAGTTTCAATATTTTTTTATAAAAAATGGTAACATTGTTAATGCATTGTTCCCTGAAAGCTTCTTCTATTTCTCAAGTTGTTTGGATAAATGCTAGCGAGATGTCATTGTACGGGGGATGATTCACCCTTCCAGGGCGAAAAATGAATTAGTTCCAGAGAAGTCGAGAAGATTAAAGCATGAAGCGGTGTAATACTCTCCGCGAATGACTTTAACACCGCTTTATCTCTTGCTTGTAATAATTTCAAACTATGTTTTATAAATTACGCTGTAATATACCCTTCTTTAGTAAAATTAGATTCTCAAAGATTCGCGGAAATTGTATTCTTTCGGACCTGATTTCGTACATTATCATTCACATGCACAAAGTAGTACTTTTCAGAACTAAAACAAATTTCATTTCAATATTTTGAGATCGTTTTATAAAAATAAGAAGTTTGATATATTAAACAGTATGAGTTACAAAAAGATTGCATTGTATTGATAATATAAAAATGTAGTTAATAATGAATTATTTTTATATTTAATATATTGTCACAGTAGAAACACCTATGTATAGTCAGACATCGATACTTCATGTTATCTAAATTTTTTTTTTCTTTATTTATTAATGATCAGATATGTAGTCTTACATCAGGAATTAAATACTACATTCTTCAACCAAAAAAAATATTATACTCTTAATATTCCTGAATTTTACATAGCACAGCAAAAAATTAATTCACCCTAGAAACTCCCAGCACAAATTCAATAAAAAGAGAGAAGTAAAAAAAAAAAAAATGAAAAGCGATAGAAGGTTATCGAAACGTTTTTAAAACAACCACGAGGTGGTCCGAAACAATTGCGCAACACAGCGAGGGTGGATATGGTTTATTCTGTTAGAAGCAGAAGCAAGGGAGATGAAAGGGCGGAAGCAAGGAAAAAAGGAACATGCAGGATGGTTTTCTTCAGGGACGAGGCTAAGAACCCCACTGCGAATATCCCTTTTTCTCGGTTTTTGTTCACTCCTTCCGTCTCTCTTATTTTCTCGATTGGACTGTCCCTCTCTTGGACCCATCAAGCCTTATCGTGGTAGCGTCAATCACTCTCTTCGTATACGGTCGAACTTATCGTTCGATTAATCGCACTGACAATGCGCCTGTCGATCCAACTTACCGCCCGCCCCAAATCCATATGGTCCACTCCTGATGCAAAATTTTGTTCCCGAAAAGTGATGTCCATTTATTCCGATACTTCGTTGAAGCAAGACCAAAACTTTGACCGCGGATTTTTTTTTTTATTCAATTTCGTGTATCGACATTGTTTCGGATTCTTTTTTTGGGGAGTTTTGTGAAGATATTTTCGAACTGCTGTTTCGATTTCATGTTGAAATATTATAAATTCATGTTCATATGTTACAATATGTATTTACAAGAATATACTCTTTTGAAGTAATACAGCTTCGATAATAATGAAATTATTTAATTGATATATTTATAAAAATTTGCTATATATTATACCTTTATGAATCGAATACATGAATTTAGGTTAATACGAATATTACTATATATCATGGTATCAACAAATCCATCCAACCTAACAAGATAAATTTACCATAAGGTAAACAATAAAAAATAAAGTAAAATAACAGAATAAAATTTAGAAGATACTAAAAAGAAAAAAGTAGTAAAGAAAAAGGGAATGGAATGTAAAGAAAAAATTCTGGAGGTTACGTAAACTGGCAGCCCAAACTTCCGGTGGTTGTCAGCAGAACCGGAAACACTATATGGATCAGACATGACGCGGTACTTGTTTGTTAGCAGACGACTTTGTACAACAGCTCGTATCATCGGCGCCAAAATGTCTGGGCCATTGCTATTGGCTGCTTGTTTAACCCCCACTGAGATTCGCGAATTCTGGGTGGTGTTCTCGTGCTTCGATAAATCAATGTGTCAAAGTGTGTTCGTGTTAAAATCCAAATTAATCCTGTTTCCTTCGAGTCTGAATTTTTCTATCTCACACCAAAGTAAAATTTCAGTGAAACATCTTAACATCTAAAATGTAGACGAACGCGACAGATGCGTTAACTGCAGCAACCGTATAAAGATAAGTGGAGGAGATACCAGTAAGAGATCTTTGACTTTCGATGCCGTTTGCTACGGTTCATTGAAGGTCTGCCTGATTTATGAAAAGTACCATGTGGACAGTCTGATGCTCGGTCGAATGATTAAGTGAGGAGATAAGTGCACTGATAAAAGTTTGTATCAACGTACTCGAGGAAGTATACGAAGTATTATAATAGTTCGTTTCATTATATGTATAAAGTACTAGCAGACTAATAGAAACTTACTGCGAATTAACAAATAATTCAATAAATTATTTATTCAATCTTGAAACGTTTTAGACACAACACATCAATAATGTATAAATACGATGTGACTACTCTAGAAGTTACTGCAATCTTTTGTTCTAAATAATTAACGTAGAAATTAGTAAAAATTGCATTAACTACAACCCCCAATAAATGTGAGCCCAACCTAAACTCCAACCTGAAAGTTAAAGAATAAAGTTTCAGCCCAAACAATTTGAACCGAAAATTATTCCTTAAAATCTGAAGTCATCCCCCCGAAATTAGTAAACAATATAGCCCGTAAAAATAATCCCGCCCGAACAAAATGCAGAATCCGGTACTTTTAACGCTCAGGCTATTTCCGACCGAAATTTCAATTTCTCCCAAGAATTTAATTTCGCGAAACTGCGCTCGTCGATGCTCCGCCCGGCTCTCACCCTCCTGGGCAGCTGCATCGCTCTAAATTTCGATTTCCCGCGAAAAACTCTAAATTTATCATATAAAACAGCCCCTGGAGGTGTCCGCGGCCGAGGGCACGCGTCACGGAAATCCAATTGGTCGGAGAAGGTGTCGTGGCAGCCCTTTCTCAATCGTCGGATGCCTATTCAAATTTTACGGGCCGTATTTGTCGCAATTAGGTATCGCGTTTTCGGGCTTATGGGCCAGAAAGTATTCCATATTGAGCAAGGGAAAGCCATCGGTAGGCTGTCTCGAATAAGGATGAATTCGTGGTGCAAACGCGTGGTCCAGAGGGGTAAGTTTATGGCCACCGGCAGGGGTAGACACTTTCACGACTCGTCTGACTCATAGACAGACGGAAGGGACGAAGATAGAACGAATGCAGAAGGCCACAGTTTTACGAGGAGACTCGATTTGACAGATCGGTTGCGAGGTGTTCGAAGTTTTAACAATTTGCCAACGTTGTGCTAAGGTTCTGCATGAAAATGTAATAATTGGGACCGATTAACTACCATCTTATGGTTGCACGACGGAAGAAAATGGCCGCATCGATCATGGTGGACGGATTTCGATCTCGAACTCTTAGGAATCTATGCTAGTAACTACGTAATGATTACTTACAGTTTTTCGTTGGCTTCTGTCTTATTTCGTGATATTTTTCGTTCCTTCAATGCGTGTGTATGTGTGGCAACAGTTGCAGTTCAGGCCTTTCTGAAAACTGACAAAAATAAACGATTTACAGATCTGTCATATTTTGTGTAAATATTTCATTAATTTATTTAATACACATTTTTAATGAATATACATTGTAATATATAATTTTAATATACAAGATATATCGATCTTAAACTTTTTCATTTTTAAATAAATTAAATAATAAATTATGTTGAGTAAGATACAATAAGAACCAATGAAGAACATCGTCATGAAGCACTGAATGCACAAAGAATAAAGAGAGAGGATTATGAGAGATTAGAAAAAAGAGGCATAGAAAGATCGACGTCTATCGCGATGCATGTCAAAGTAAATTCCATTACTCCTCCTATTTCGATTAATCGATCTCTCGCGCACACTTTCCGCATCTCAAATTTAAATATTGCGCTGCGACGCGCAAAAAGTGCAGTCAGTTTTTTAACACGAAAAGAATTCATGGAACCATTATAAAGTAAAACCATGAGAAGAACTTCATGAGAATTTCATCTGATTTCAAACAATAATATATTAAATATTTAATTGTATATAAAGTAAAATAAACTCATACATTTTTTAGTATGCTCCCTTTTAATATGTCTGAGATATCCCGTTGAAGGAGTACCAAAACAACGAATATTACCTTGCAACTAAAATGTACATCACCAATAAGGATAAAGATAAATAAAGATATATCAAATCCTCTAACAAGATCAAATAAATTTATATATTTTGTCCATTAAATATAAAAAATAACTCCGAGCAAGCATCGAATCAATAAATATTAAATGCATGGCCGACAAAGACCAAATCAAGTCCTGTTTACCAAAGACAGATCGAATCAAGCCGTAACAAAGGTAGCTGAAATCGCGTAATATATTTTCCGAATGAAAAAAGTCTCGTTTGAAAAGATGGAAAAAGCGTGGAGGGGTGAGTAACCGAAAAAAGATGGGGAAGTGACCAGAAAGCAAAATGAAAACGGGATAAATAAAAGGCAAATAAAGGGAAACAGGGACAAGGAGAGGACACGGGGCTTAAGGGAGAAAAAAAATAAAAGCAAAGAAAGGGGAGGTGTAGAGCAAGAGAAGAGACAGGAGAAAGGGAAGAGAGAAGAGAAGTTGGAGAGAGTCGAGGGGGTTGGGTGCTGGCGGCGTTATGGCGGG